ACACAATGGATACGAAATACGGTGGCTCTTTGCTAGTTCACAAACATCACAGCGGAAACTAGAAACATCACATTTTGCAAACAAACTAGGAAATAATTTTTTCAGATAACCAAAGGAAGCATGCCCTAGACATCGATGCCACAGCCAGATTTCAGATTTTTTTCTCTCCCCCTCAGAACCATCCACTGTCAATGCTTGTCGTAGCTTGTTGGAACTTTTGGACATCAAGTCCAAGTAATACAGTTTCCCTCGCCTAATACCACAACCAATCGTTTGCTTTGTTTGGATGTCCTTAAACACACAAAAATCAGGCCAAAAAATGACAACACAAAATAAAGCTGTGGTGATTTGGGAAACTGACAAAAGATTAGAATCTAAAGATTGAATAACTAAAACAGAATCTAAATGCAGATTATTATTGAGTGTCAAAGATCCTTCCCCAATAACTGGGGTCGAAGTCCCATTGGCAGTAGAAACAAATTTGTGTGAAGATGAAGTAAGAGGTGAGACCTGTCTAGATTCAAATGTCATATGATCTGTGGCACCAGAATCAATTATCCATGCACTATTAGCAACATGAGTAGAAATATTAAAATTCTTACCACCAGTATTTGTTATCTTAACAACTTCTGCAGTGAAGGTCTTTGTTGAATTCTTCTTCCAACGGCGATGATCCCACCATTCCGGATAGCCCACAAGTTTGAAGCAGCGACTTTTGGTATGACCAGTCTGGTTGTAATGAGTGCATTTGTAGGTAGACTTGTCTGCTCTAGATGATTCAATATTTTTTTCACTCATTTTTTTTTTTTTTTTTTTCTTTGAACTGGTTTATCCGAGAACCAATTTTCAAATGAGGTTACAAAACTGGTTTAGTTTTGAACTAATCTAGAACTGGAATAGTATTACATTTGTGGCCAAACAGAGGGTTTTGATTTTTTTTTTTTTTTTGAATTATAATATATATATATATATATATAGTAATAAAATAAAAAATAAAACAAACAAACAATATTCAAGCTCGTCTCTATTAAGCAACAGAGACAAAGATAAAATAAAAAACAAACTGGATGCGAGGCAGCGGTAGAGAACCACGACGCGATCCGGCGAGGCAGCGGCAGAGAGTGGCCTGATCCGGTGACACGACGACCATTTGGCAGTTAAGGTGCAGCGGTTCATTGCCGTTTAAAAAATCACCGACAAGCAACGGTGCAGCGGTTCATGGCAGATTCAGATCCGGCTGGTTCACGGCAGATTCAGATTCGGCGATGGCAGATCGCTGGCAGCGGCAAGTAGCAGTTTCGTTGTAGGCAGCGGTTCGGTTCGACAGCGTCGACGTCGGTTGGAGAGCAGCGTCGTCATCGTGGGTTGGAGACAGCGACGGCTATGGTGATTCAGCGGTTCTGAGATGGTCGCAGCGTCGTCGTCGGCGGTTGGACAGCGGTGAAGGTCATGGCTATGGACGGTGCAGCGTAGATCCGGCAACGACTATGGACAGTGGTGAAGGTTCGGCGACGACTATGGTTTGTCATAGCAGCGGGTATGGGTCTGTGTCTGGGTATGGTGAATGTATGGGTATGGGTATGTGGATGTGAATTTATGTGTATGTGTATGGGTCTGGTGTAAGAATGTATGTGTATGAGCCTATGAATTTCAAAGATAAATTTAAAGAGATTCAAAGAATACGGTTCAATGATGGCTTTGATACCATCGTAAAAAAGAATATGAGAATTAAAAATTCTATATTATCATTCATTAATGAGTATTACATCTAATTTATAAAATAGGACTAGTTAAAATAGGTAATTAATTATTTACCAATTAACCCTAAATCAAGGAGAAAATAATTCAATCATACAGCTGTACTATAAGAGATAAAATCTTAACAGTACATAGTCCACGAGGTTTTTCTCACGTAACCAGTTCGTCTATTTTACCAATTGGAGTTTCCTCTCATCTCTAACTTTATTACTTTATTTTATCTTACATGAGATTAATTGATAAAATAAGTAAAGTTAATAAAACACAGATCTGTTGTTAAAAATATAAAACTTTTTAAATCTTCAGCTACATATAACTCACAGTAAATTCTTATTTGTGAATTAATATTCTATTTATATGTATACAGTTAAAATTAATATTTTATTGAAAACACTGTAACCAATTTGATAATCTATTAATACAATTTGTGATCAACCACATATGGTTTTGTAAATTCTTATTTATGTAATTTTTTTACATCGTAAAAGAACGTTAATAACATGGAGCAGTTTTGATATTTTATTTATTTTTAAATAATAGTTGACTTTAGACTTGACTCACTGATAAAAGGAAGTTAGGTAAAGACAACCAAAGCAGAGCATTAAACCTATTACTATATTATTAGTAATCTAATAGTTGTTGCACTGAATTAACTGATAATTATGCATCTAGAACATAGCAAGTGGCACAAGTGTTGCAACTTAGTTGCCAAAGAATTTCATGCGGATTTTAATTGGAACAGGTTTTGATTATTCTCTCAAGAATCTTTCCGCTAGTTCGATTCGAATAAAAATGGAGCAGACGTACATGTTAGAATGGATAAAGTTTTTTTTTTTTTTTTTTTGGGTTGAATTGAATGAATAAAGTTGTCATTCAAAAATAAGCATAAATTCAGAAGAATTTTGACCATAAGAAATAAAAGAAATGCATGTATATAATTATTAAATATTTGTTTATAGTTAGATTATTCCTAAAAAAATTATTCCTAAAAAAATTATTTCGAATTTGGCAAAATTAACCCTTTCATTTAAAAAATAAAAATAAAAAATTGCTAACAAGTAACAAATCTGTTCTATTATGAATTTGTGACCTCTTGGATGACATTTTGAATCATCTTTGTGGACTATTACAATTTCTCATGCTATGAGGCTCTTTCTATCCTTTTATGATGAAGAAAACACGCACACACACTTAGACCACCTTCTGTGTTATAGACTACACACACAGTTTCCCAATGGATATTAATTAGAGTCATCTCTCAAATGAATGAAACATGTATTTGTGTGTGTATTAGTCCCTCTTGTTTGGACTTGCATTCTATGATCTTGAATGACTGAGTTTGATCATTGTTGAGCATGGCTGAGTGGCCACAGATTTTGGGCTACTTTGTTTATAGGCCCTCAATTTCAAGTTCAGTCGAGGGTTCGAAACGGGAAATAGTCTCACTGTACCGACCCTCCCCATACCCCAATAATAATGGGAGTTTCATGAACTACCATTTGGACATTTGTATATAGACTATAAAGCAATTTTATGGGGGCGAAGGTAGTAATAAAAGTAGTTTGTTTGTGTTGAGGCTACAATAATTTAATTCCTCACCCTTCCTTTCAATAGCACAACCTTAATTACCGGAGGGTTTTGGGTTTGAGAAAATTAATGAACAATAAATTTCATAAAAATTGTAGAACCTAGATGGATTTGACAAAGGATGAAATGTCACTTCACAAATTAAAATTTTATTTAAATTTAAGCAACAATCTTCCTGTTCCTAAAATGCAGTAGTGTGATTACTTATATTTGTTTGTAATATGAAATGACAGAACCAAGAAAAATCAAGAATTACAACGGAAATAAATATGCTATACACGAAGAACACAAAAATTTAGCGTAGTTTAGTAAAGTCTACATCTAAGGTGAAGATCTGGCGAAAGAATTCACCCTACGAAAAATCTGGAGATTACAAATTTTAGCCCCCCAACCTTAGCTCTCAGTCTCACTCTCACTCTCTCTCTTTTACACAATTTCCAGTCCCTCTCAAATATCCCACTCCAAACCCTAAATGCCCTTATATATCTGGTTACAAGAGGGTACTAATTAGGATCTACGAGTAATGAGCAAAAAACGGGTTAAGAATTTTCCTCTCCGGCAAGTCCCCGAACCCCCAAAACTTTGTGTGGACTTTCAATGGGTCATCTTCCGGAACCAAATTCGGGTCACAACATCACATATGAGCTCCACACTGAAAAATGTTCTTTCTATTATCTTTTTTTTTTTCTTTTTTCTTTTTTTCCCCTTAATATCATATTGTCATTTTGATATTCAATATGGATGGAATGTAAGTGACTCAAGCTGAGCTTGGTATTGTTTGAACTAATGATTGTTCACAAGCCAGTTCAAACCCACGATTGAGATTAAAAAAAAAAAAAAAAAAAAATTGGCTAAGCTGTTTTCTTTATATGTATTATTCTTACTACTTTCTTGTCAAAAAAATAAAAATAAAATAATAAAAAAACAGAAAACTACAGATTCACCCCAAAGAAGTTTCTAATTTTCTACACATAAAACTGAGAAAACTGGACCAGAGTTGTTATCATTTGCATTGCCAGTGGTAATCCTGACCCGTTGTTAAAGTTGTCAACAGATTTAGGTTCTTCAAAGGTTGTGCCATGAATGAGGGGGCCATGAAGAAATTCAATTACTAATTTAACCCTAGGGTCAAACCACTGAAACTGGTCCTTTGAAGGTCAAAACAGGTCATCTCTAGCATGGGCTAACTACCCTAATTAAAAAATATATAAAAATGGAGAGAGAAAGTGATTGCCAGTCACTTGCACTTTATTTTGTACATTGTTCCCTCTCTTCTCCCTCCTTTTTACCAATAGCTTTTTGCTTTTGCCATAATCACCCTTGTCCACCACCACCACCACCATCATCATCAGCTGACCAATTTAAATAACACCCCCTTCTCAGACCCCCTCTTCCCCACAACACAGACCCTCATTAGCAATCTCACAGAGAAGTTTTGACAGAAACATCAAATTTTCATCCTCTGTAAGTAAGCCAAAGTTTATCTCTAGTTATTCTTATTCCTTTTGTGTTTCTGTGTGTGTGTGTGTGTGTGTGTCAGTGTGTGTGTTGTTGTGCTTCAGATTTATATCATTTTCTTTACAATTCTCTCTAGATTTGGCCATGCATTCATGTAAACAAGTAATGAAGTAGACAAGAACAAAATGTCTGCACTCTGCACACAAAAACCATATCACATTCTCCATTCCAATATCTATAAGTCATATTACATAAAGAATTAAAGAAAAGAAGAAAACCAATAAGGCTTTTCCTATACCTTCTGCACACCTAAATAAACAACAAATAGGAGTTCAATTCATCTGTTTGATCCTCCATTACACACACTCTTTGTATGTTATTTCTTTCTGAAACCTCTTTTCTGAAAGGGCATTGTAGGCGAGATGCCTATGTATACATACTTACACCCTTGAAAGGGTAGGGATTTGTATTACAAGTTCTGTACAAATGATAACGACCAAAAACTTGATTGGGAAAAGGAGTACCCAACTCCGAATCCCATCACGAGACAACGAAAACGAAAGACACACTGGGAATTAGAGCGAGTATTAGGGCTGCTAACTCTTGAAACAATGCAGAATGTATTGTTAGATCTGTCTGGAACACTAGAATGCACCATAGCATTCTAGAATGAAATGCAGATCTCAATAGGCCTCTTCATAAAAACTCAGGTCGGATGACTGCAATCCAAGGAAAGTGAACTCAAACGAATAAGGAAAAAAACTCTACATAAGCAGAAAACTTTAGTATAGAGTTATAGTGGCTGTAAACCCCCAGAATTATATATGTGAGATGGATCAATGAGGTTGTTCATAGACTATGGAGGAGGACCCTTTTGCAGGGTGGAGGTTGTGGAGGGTTAATGCTGGGATCCGAGGATGGGGATTCCATTCCGAGAGTTTTCAAAAGGAAGTGCCTTTCCTGGATGCATAAAAAATGTCAGTCCCATATCAACATGGCATAAAGATATACTAATATCAAGAAAGAAAATATGATTTAAAAATATACAAACTGAACAACTATTTCGCAAGTTAAAACATTAGTAACTAAGAAGTTGGGAGTGGTTAGAAGTAGATAATTGGCCACCATCTGAATTTACATCCTCAAGAAGTAGTTTAGTCAAAAGCATGAGCTCACAAAATCCAGGCCTCTGCTTGGAACAATTGGCCATCTTTTAGTTGTGAAAGAAAAGTGATGCTTTAGAGTGTTTTACATCTTCAAAATACTGTTGTTCTGTGAATAATTTAGTGTTTGTTTCAATTAGTAACAATAAAGTTAGACAAATAATGGAACATGTTGGAAGTAATGGTTAATAGAGGAAACAAAACCACAGGGAAGTAATTGTTAATAGTCCTGTAGTGGGCATTAATCTTTACCTTAACAGGCACATCTTATTCCATTTGCTTAAGATATAAAAGCAAGAGCTACCATAAACATCAGCAACTCGACGGAATTTCATTGATATGTAGTGTGAAAGGGTAATTGAGTCCTCAGCATGGCCACATTATGTTTATGACTGATGTTAGCTATTGGCAAGGACATATATATCTGAGAATATTTCTTTCGTATAATATAATTTTCACTTTCATATTTTGAACATGTAATGGCGTATATATTCAAAAAAAACTAAAAGATATCACAGTTATCCACCATTTAGCCTAACTTCGAAACTGTGACTAATTAATTATTTGTTTTTGGAAGGTCGAGTTTATGTAAAACTGCAATTCAAGGTTAAAAAAATTCTTGAATAGAATTTTTGTTTTATAATCTTCCTTCTTATTTATTTTATTTTATTTTATTTTTTTTAATACTTATTTTAAAGTAAGCTTTTGTGGCTTGCACCAACAGGGGCATGAACCAGGCATTTCCTGGAAATAACCAAGAACTAGAAGTTTGCAGTACACTACTAGTGCTGCAATAAGAGCAATTCAAACAACTAAAAGAGCAGCTTTGTTAAATTAACTAGTTCAAGTCACGACTTAGCAGAACCACTTCTATTTTATTAAGTCTAGAATAATAACTTTGAAACTGTGACTAATTAATTATTGGTTTTTGGAAGGTCGAGTTTATGTAAAATTCCAATTCAAGGTTTAATAAAATTCTTAATACAATTTTTGTTTTTTATTTAGTTATTTATTTTTTAAATTTTAAAGTAAGTAAGCTTTTGCGGCTTGCGCCAACAGGGCATGAACCAGGCATTTCCTGGAAATAACCAAAAACTAGAAGTTTAAGTCTAGAATATACAAATCTTTTCATCAAGGTAGTCAAGTCACATTCTATAGAAAAAACTTATTATCCGAGTTTAACCTGATCTTGAATAGTGTTTTCTTAGTTGAGTTCATGTTAGCAAACAGTCAATTACTCACCTTTGAATCTCTTCAAAGATTTATCATTCATGTTTTCTAGTTTTGTTCTTTTATGCAGCAAACTTTCTTAACAGCAAGGTGAATATGTTATACGCTTGTACTGTTCTGAAATCAATTAAAGGTCTTAAACATACCTTTCCTATTCTTTTTGGAAAGATGTACTTCTATGGTCCCATAGCAAGGTAATAAATTTTGGCTACGGGTTAGCTTGCGTGTGTTACAGGTAGTTTATTGGAGAACAAATGGAACATGAATTTACCTATATAAAGTTTCAAACGCTGACTTCCACTGAACCTTGCAACTGCCTAAACGGAGTTTAAACTTTACATTTTTTGTAAGTTTACCAACGTGTTAGATAATGATGCTTTGATTTAAATAAGGTTATCCATAAACTAGAACAGTCATTAGTACTGCCACTTTAGCTAGAAATGCTGATGACTAAAGTATATTGAAAAGTACCAATGGATAGAAATCAGCAGAGAAAAGTTTTAGCATTACTACTACTGCTACTGTTGCAATTACGTCTGATGGATTGATAATCAGCAAGTAGACTGATAGTCTTACAGATAGATTCATTATTAGCTAGTCTTACAAATAGATTGATTATTAGCAGAGAGAGTGGAATTAGTATCACTTAAAATAATATAGAGTAACACTGTAAACACTGCTGGTTTGATAAAATAGCAGGACAAATTTAAACTACTACTGTTAATTATGGCTTATTAATGAACTGAGTCAAAGATAAACACTTACGCTTTCTGAAAACTTTGGGCTGGGAATCCCTGCTGCTAAGGATCTGAATAGTGGGGTTACTTGAAGAGGGGAACTGAACTCTGTACTTGAGAAGGCGGAAACAATTCCATCATTGTCTTTTAGTTCATCACAAGAAGGTAACGTTTCTGAAACAAGAAGATAGATAATTTTTATTTGCAGCACGAGAAAATAATATATAAAAGTACTTATTGAATATAAAATTTTGGTTACCTTGATTTCTTGTTACATCTGAGGGAGCTTTATTTTCACATTCACCAACACCATTTTGCTCTCCTATATGAGCTGATTGCAACTCAGCTTCAATATCCTGATGTGCTGCACGTAACTCGGGTTGATTTCGTTCTGTTGTATCACCTGCTCTATGGGATGGCAGAGTTGATTCTATACTGAACTCAGAGCTGTCTGGGGACTCCTCATATAAAGCTGGTTGCCTACAATAACCATCAATTAAGTGTTTTATTGCAAGTAAGAAATAGTTATTATCTAAGTATTAGTTGGTCGCATATTTATTACCTCCAAGATGATTGACTGCCCTCATTACTACTCCTCAAGTCTTCTACAAAGTCTTTATACTTTTCAAGTTGAAAATTCATCTCCGAGAGTTCGCAGCAGAGCACATCACTTCCTTTGGTTTGATTGAGAAAATTTTGGAGAACCTGATTATTCATATTTCATTTATATCAGATAATATGCAAACATGAGAACATCGTTTTAATTTTACTCTTGTTGCAAGTTAAAAAGGAAATCTGGAACACTCTATGAGAGCCTGAAGCACTAGAAATGGAGCACCACTATCTGTAGACTGTAGCACATTTCTACCGAGATTTACACCATAAGTCCAAGCAATCTTTCTTAAATTTATTATGTGATTTGACTGGGCTATTATCATCGAGATCTCTAAGCCAAAAATTAACCATACTAGATCATTGCATGATGCATCTATTACAGTAAGAATATGAAGTGGGCAACCGAAAGAAATTCTTGGGATTGGTTGGTCACAGACATTTAGGCAGCAGAATGACATTGAATTTTTTTGCAACCGAGCCATGCTGCTTGCCGTAAATAGACCATTCTAAGATGATCACAATTAGATATAGATTACTGAAACCAAGCAAGTAGTCACCTATTTTAACTCACCTTCCATGCATTTTCAAGACTCTGCTCTGTATTCTCTGAATTAACTTTGACTGCAAGCGAGCTGAGCAGTTCTGCTTGTTGCATCAATGCAAATATCTTTGGATCATCCTTTTTGATAAATGTTCCTTGAGTCTTGTTAGTGCTAGCTGCTTTTGGATCAGAAAGAAAGATAAACATCATTAGTTATTTTCTTTTTGTAACTTGCATTAATTTAACTTAGGATAACGAATTATTACAAAATGTTAATATCAAAGTTGCTGAATAATTATCAAGACACACATTTCAAAGTGTGAAAAAAAAAAAAAAAATTGTGTTGGCTGAAAAGCCTGAAATAAATAATGATGAACTGTTCACAAATATTTTCTTCTAATGTGCACTTCAGGCTGTGAATAAGCACTTCTTAGCAAGGTTTTCTAAAGTTTCCAAAGGTGAATTACCATCATTTGAGGCCTCCTTGATGTCGCTAACATGATGCTGAATTGGCAAGTCACCGACAGCGTCGAAGTTCTGTACCAGTACTGCAAATGGTGGTCTTAGCTGCTGACTTCTTCTTGTTATTCCACATTCCCCGAGTATTTGGTTTTCTGTGGGATTAGAGATGTGGGTCCTCCTAGATCACAGTAATTAAGTGCCAATCAGTAACATTTTAATCTTGGGAACATTATCTGGAGACCGAATATGATATATCAGTTGTACCTCATCTTCTTAAGAGGTTCTGCACTTTTTGATATTCCATCTGTATTGAAACCATTTTGAAATAAGACCCTTTTGTTGTTCGAATTGATGTATGAGGTGTTCTCTTTTGCCAAGGCTTCATGTTTTGCTCTCTTTTTACATAGGGTGGAGAACCGATTTTTCACAGCATTATCCGTTCTGTGTGAACAAAGAAATTAGAGATTAATTTACAATTTCATGAACCAATTTACAGCCAAAAGAAGAACAGAATTTAAAAATTAATATACCTGCCTGAAACCACTTTTGCTATTTCAGTCCATCTGTTACCAAATATTTTTTGAGCCTGCAAACCATCTTGAGATATCACATAACCACATCCAATAATGACACTTATGTTGGACTCTTGAGAGACAAAACAGAGCAGCAATTATTGTTTACCATCAAAACATGGAAACTAAAAAATTCGCTGTAGATTGTTCCAATAACAACAACAACAATAGATGTTGAGGACTGACTAATTATTGTTTCGATAATAGTTATCTCACAACTAAGGAGGCATTACTTCTAAAACTTCAGAAAGTTCCAATGAACATGTGTAGAGCATCAATTTACCTCGCATAAAAGCATGTCTTCCTCCGGAGACCATCCCCCTTTCTTGAAATCAGAATTCAAATAGGTGAACCATCTGCAATAGTATTATCACATCCACATCAGTCTAAACTAAAAAGAAAACAAAAACAAAAAGAAAAAAGAAAATTGGATTTGATGGATAAAATAAATGCAAATATCATTCTTTTTCTAATTAACCTTCTTCTGCATTGTCTGGTTGTTTTATCCTTGAACTTCGAAGCAATGATCGCCCAACTGCACCCACATATTACAACAAAAGCCCTCAATTTCACTTACCCAAAACAATTAATTGACCTTTAATTACACACACACACACAAAAAAAAAAAAAAAAAAAAAAAAAAAAAAAAAAAAAAAAAAAAAGAACATAAACACAAAAATCAAGTAAAAAGATGAAGTCTACTTGTCTGTTCCATGGATTCGAATTTGCTCGCGAAGTATGTCATCCTCCTGCAACTCAGACAACCCATTATCAGGCAAAACTAGATGAAGCATAGAGGGCATCAAAATCACTCAAGCAATTAAAAACCCAAAACAGAGTACTATTCTATACTATAAAAGACCTCTTGAGACCATGTAACGATGTGCCTCGCTTTCTGCTTTGAAACTTCACTATTATTATCCACCTTCTTCTTCATATTCTGCATTGTTCTTCTCTCTCTTCAACAACGCTCCACTTCCCTTTATCGTTCATGCTAAAGTGAGAGTCCTTTGGTGTGTGTTATATAAAATGCAAGCCAAAAGGGACTCGTCTCTCTTTACACACAACAACAACGACACTGTGCGTCTTTAGCGCACCGAAATTGCCTCGGATTCGAACTTTTCAATCACCTTTGATCTAAACATTCACAGAATCCAAATTAGGGATTCAAACAAAACCCCAAATACATACAAAAATTAAACACGTTAACTAATTAACCCTAGAAAGTTTACACATGAGCCGATCACCATCGATCTATATATAACATATATAGAATCTCCTATTGGTAGTGATACAGTGATTTTTCGATATTCGAGAAAGAGGGTTCGTATGTATAATTGTGTATGTGTGTATATACACACACAATCTGAATAAGTAGATCTGAGAGTTTGAGCTTACGAGTATTTCGAAGAGCTTTATCTTCAAGAAACCAATCGGAGATTGGAGGTGGAGCCGTGGAGGAGAGAGAAAGTGGGCTACGCCACTGTAGAGATTGAAAGCTGTAGAGTGAGAGAGAGAGTGGATGATGATCGGTTTGATTTGTTGGTATCTGTTTCAATCCCTTTCCTCTAGAGACTCTCTCTCTCTCTCTCTCTCTCTCTAAAAAGTATACTTTCTCTCTCTAAAAATTATTTTTAAAATATTCAACGGATCCTTACTTTTGAGCGCGGGTATGAAGGGGAAGTTTGAAAAAAAACGCTGAAATCCACGAGAGTATAATTAATGGAGGACCGAAGATGGATCATGGCTGGTGATATGGACTAGCCCACCCACACCATATGTATTGTATGCACCATATATCTACATAAATATATATATATATATATATATATATATATATGTAGATATGGATATAGATGTGTGTGAGTTTGAACTCTCTGCTTTTTTGTATTTTTAAATTATTATTTAACAGTTATAAACATATCAAGTGATCACTTATTAATTATTATATATACATAAGTAACGTAAACTATGCACTCATAAATGTATGAGAAGTGAGTATTAGTTTCCTGTAACATGTGGATGGTATATATACATTTGCTAATGTAAAATTTGAATTCTTATACCAACAAATAACTTTGTGAGAATAATAATCAAAAGTTAAGTCAATGATGGTAGTGTCATGTATATACTATATGAATATACATACATATACATATATATATAAATTGCTGCTAGATAAAAACATGGTGCAAGAAATATCCTGCTATTTAGTATGTGCATATAAATTCTTATAATTTGAAATTTTGTTGTAAATTACCCTCTATTGTCAATTTTGAGCTATTTTGTTTTTTATATAAAAACTTTAAAATATTCATAATAAAATTTGTGTGAAAAAATATCCCAATTTGCTCAATTTGAATATAGTTGCACATTTGGTATATAAAAAAAATAAAAAATTACACTTTAACTTTTATATTATAACAAAGATAAACCTCTTCACTTCTTGTGTATTTCAATAATAATTTACCACAGTTTTAACAATATGTAAACATATATGTGATGCAAATACGTAAATATCTATCCAGACCTCCTTATGCTCTCACCCTTTTGTGTGCGTACTTCTCCATGCAATAATGATTTACGCTTATAAGATACATTTAAATTGAAGATGCAATATATATATATATATATATGTAATTGTTGCGCTATCAATTTAAATTAATACATTTTAACAAAATAAAAATAAAAACAGGAAAAAAAAAAAAAAAAAAAGGTGAGAGAGATCCTCATCCGTGCGTGTATATAAAATACAACATCATTATGTCTCTCTGTCTTAAATGTTTTCTATTATTTGGAATGCTGGTTTTAAAAGGGAACATGACTGTGTTCGTGACCCAACGTTCAAGTAGATTTCACTTGAATGCCGTTTAGTCTCCTCATGCATGATCAATGAATTGCCTACGCGCTGCTGAGAGTTGTGCCCATCACTCTCGATCAGATTGCAATGGGCCCCGCAATACAACAGCGATTTCCCACCGTCCGATTGGGAGGTGACCACCACGTGATTGGAGTAGAGGGTGGCCTCAGATCTCCTTCACATGCTTTTGTTCACGCTCCAGGCTGCACCAACCAGTAACCAACCATCCTCACATTCACTTTGTGTGTGGATTTAAATGTGTGTGTCCCTTTCAAAATTGGAAGTTTTGTTTGTTTTAGATGGTGAAAGTATCTCATCATAGTTTCGCTTCTCCCACTCATTTTGATTTTTTTCAAATTGCACCTATAAAATAAGTTCAAGTGCAAAAAAATAAATAATGAAGAATAATATTTAAAAAATAAGAAAAAGATGTATTGAGCGAGTGTGCCCGTATTCGAGTCTCCCTCCTCTTAATTTGCCACTATAATATATATATATATATATATAAGTAGGGTTAAAATCATAAAACTATCCTATATTATTCAAATTATTCATATAACCGGATCTGTTAACTAGCTTGTGAAATAACAAAATTGACCTTGTTATTTTAATAGGGTTAAAATCTTAAAATCTCTCAATATTATTTAATTTGATCATATAACCCCTTGTAGTACGAAAACCATCTCAAAACCCATTGATGTTTTAAAAATCCATCATGTCACCCCCAAATCGTCATTTAATGAAAAAATAACATGTGAGTGCCACATGCGAAAGTTTACTCTCTATATGACCGAAATGCCCTTATATATGACTCAAATACTCTTTACTTAACCTACCTCGAATAAAGTTGGACAACTTGTTATCATACAACAAAGTTCCTCCACTAGTCGATGACTTGATCTTAAGATCCAACACGCACAAGAGATCGTTACTTGTCTCTGTTAAAGCGTTTCTCAATTTCATAATGGTATTTTGTTCGAGGTGAAGAAATCTTCAATGAAGGTGGAGTTATAAATTGATCATTGTTTGAGTTGGAGCTGTGGAGGAGCACATGAAAATAAAAATTTTGAGCCAAGGTGGAGATTATTAGAGTTGTGGCTCAAATTTTGGTGGAGAATTTTATTCTAGACAAGCGAAACAGGTTTTGCTTAAGAAGAATGGTTGGATCAATGGTTAAAGAAGCGGAATCAATTGTGTTTTAATGGAACCGGTTGCGCTTGCCTAATGTGTGCGAGAAATAGCTTTCTAATTAGTTTTAGAAGCTAGAAGACTTTAGAAAAGGCTGAAGATTTGGGAAAAAAGTTGTGCCTGCTATTTTAGAGTTAAAGACTGATATAGTAACTCTTTGTAAGCAAGTTGGGAAATATTTTTCCAACAAGGAATTAGGTTTGAAGATTCTATAAATAGAGATAGGTGTAAGAGGTTTTAGAGAGAGAAAGAGAAGAGAAGAGATGTAAAGTGTTTAAGGGTGAGTGTCGTGAGGAGATGAGAGAGTATATGTAATTCTCGAGTGTATACATGTAGCCTCAAAAGTGATAATGAGTAAGTGATTGGGATTTTAACATATGGTTGTATATTCTTTTCTTTAATTCATAATAGTGAAAATTCCTCTCCATGGACGTAATCTTAGAGTTTGGTGAATCATATAAAATATTATGTTGTACGTGAATGTGTATGATTATTATTGCCATATATGCTTGTGATGATGTGATGTAATGATACTTTCGCTGTGTGAGATGGAGGAATTTAACTCTCAACAACAGTCGACCGTTGAGTGAGTTGAAGGGAGTTAATTATCCGTAACAATCTCTTTCACATTGTCAAACCTAAACGCTCTTAGGTTGAGAATGTCGGTGAAGTCTTAAATATATACAAACACATATTTATGTGTATAAATGTTTTTGTTTGATTTTTCATTTATTCTTATTAATTATTTTGATTGATTCATTCCATGCCTTAAACAATAGCTATTTCCGATTTGGAATGACCCACCCCACGTAGGTTAAAATTGTAATTTTAAAATAATATGTTTTAAATTAAAATAAAATAACAAGGTCAATTTAGTCATTTCACAAGCTAGTTAATACTTCTGTCACAAAATATAATTAAATGACCACTTTTAATAATTCAGAAGGTTATTTGTTAATTAAGGGAGTTAGATGATTAAAATGAATACTGGATATTTTATGATTTTAACTCCAATCTAAAATATGAAAGGGCAATTTGGTTATATAGTTTTATGGAATTTGGTATTTTCAAGTTAACAATTTTGGGGCGATAAGATGAATTTTTTAAAAACGTAATAAAGTTTCAAAGATAGTTTTGTTAAGTGTTTAGTATTTGGGATAAAATATTTAAAAAAAAAAAAATGATTTTAACCTCTTATATATATATATATATGAATATTTTATGATTTTAACTCCAATCTAAAATATGAAAGGGCAATTTGGTTATATAGTTTTATGGAATTTGGTATTTTCAAGTTAACAATTTTGGGGCGATAAGATGAATTTTTTAAAAACGTAATAAAGTTTCAAAGATAGTTTTGTTAAGTGTTTAGTATTTGGGATAAAATAATTTTTTTTAAAAAAATGATTTTAACCTCTTATATATATATATATATATATATATATCATGGTTTGCAATAACAGTATCGGTCGTAGTGTAACGGATTCAAACGAATTGTGATGTAAACCGATCGAATCGACCAGTTTATAGGAGTGTATAATTGTATTAAATTCTTGAAAAAAATTAGAAACCGAACTATACTTAGCGCATTGGCCTAAATTATATATATATATATAAACATGTGTCATGGATCCGAACACGTGCTATGCTTAAATTGTATGGCATGAAATTGACACTGAATGGGGAATACCTTGTAGCTATCAAGAAAATCAAACAAATCTCAGGGTCAATTCTGTGATTGGAGAGGCTGATGTTATGGCGATTGAATTTTTTGCCAATCATGGGTAAAAAGTAGGAAGATTTTATAGTCAAACTTGGATCATTTTGAAATCCAAACGGCCAACAATTATAAATTTAAAAAAAAGGACTTTGTAGAAATAATTTAAATCAAAAATTTAAAATATTAACCTAATAACTCCTAAATATTAAAAAATTATTTATTATAATCGTTAGAACGTGATAATGAACTGTTACAAATATGTAATTGATAATTTTCTACAAATGTTCTCATACAAATATTATCTAACATTGGTATTTGCAAAAAAATCAACTTAATTTAGCTAGAATTATTTTTTTTATAATAAAATTAATTTATATATGTTCTATTTTTATACTTAACGAAACAAACAATGAAGAATTATTGAACGGTGATCATCATGTCACCATCCCAATTAACATTAAAAAAGAAAAGTGAAGTATTAAAATTTAACAAAATATTAATAAAAAATAAAAATAAATTTTAATTAGAGACACATGTTCTGAATTATCCAATAATTTATGTGAACCTCTAGCATTTTTTAAAATTTTAGAAAGGACTCACCAACGGCCAACGGGAAAGCATTTTTGCGTAGACTCCAAAGAGTACGACTGACATTTGTCAGTATGAAGGATCCATGAACTTTCTGAATGACGTGACCCATACCAAACTCTATTTTAAACTTCAAGTGGAATATTATGAAATAGTCATTTAATTTTTTTTTTTTTAAATTAAGTATTAAATTGACTAATTAAACAATAAAAATGATAGTTACTTAATTTTTTCAAAATTAAGTTTTGAATTAGTAATTAAAC